CCTCTCAGAGCAGAATTCTGGCGCGAAGTGGCACGACAAATTTACATGCAGAGGCATCGTACAACATACCGCTAGACCGCGTAATCGTACCACATCCACAAACCGCGACCTGTCGCATACTACACTAATCCGAGGCGCGTCGCATTTGCGCGAGGCGCTCGCGCGCGCGGACCAAAGCCGGGTCCCGAAGCGCCTTCAGAGGGCCCGCGTCCTCGAACGCCGACTGATCCCGGGCCTCCCAGTACCTCGTGCTGCTGTAGTCCAAAAGGAGCTCGTGGCGGTTTCTGACACCGCCCCTGAGCGCGACGACAAAGACGTAGGGCCAGCCGTCGGACAGCACCTCCATCCAGCCGACGTTGACCTTCTTCTTGTCGATGGCCCCGTCGTTGATTGCCATGGACTCGTTGCCGAAACACGGATAGGGGCTGATCACGAGCCGCTGCTCTTGTCCTTCGACCACGACTTTCGTCGTCAGCTGGAAAATGTAGTCGTCGGTCTTCTGCTTCACGAGGAAAGAGGAGTTGGAGTGCACGTGCTCGAGCTCGGTCATGAGTCGGCCACTGTACGCCCCGATGATCTCCCACGGGGCAAAAGCCTTCGTCGCGTGGACGGATGCCTGCCCGCGCAAGTCCTCGCGCTCGTCCGAGTCAGGCACGCACTTAAGCTGCGTGCCCGGGAAATCTATCAGTCGAAGGCGGTAACGTGAGGATTGCGGGAGGCAGTCACTGGGAGAGGGAGGGCACATGGCTCACCAAAAAACGGGGATTTGAAGAAGTTCTCCACGTTCTTGTGCAGGCAGTAGAACGGGGAGCCGTCTTTGTAGGGCGGCTTGATCGCAGAGCCTCCGCCAGAGACTCCGTAGCATCGAATGATCTGGAACTGCGGCTTGCGGTCCACGGGCGGTCGTCGCTGCGTTGCTTTCCAGGCGCGCTGAACGTTGTCTTTCGCGGCGTTCACCTGCGGGCTGGCGATCTGCAGCTCGCCCTGCTTGTAGCACTTCTGCTCGGAGAAAACGACGCTGTTCAGATCGACCGTCGGCGCCTCGATGACCGCGAGCAACGCCTGGAGCTCGTCGCGCGGGAACGCCTCGGGCGGGTGACGCCTCTTTCGGCCGCGAGCCGAATCGCGGCCCGCGGCCGAATCGCTGCTAGGGCCGGCGCCGCCGGTCCCAGCCACGGGCGGCTCTGCCCCAGCCCGCAGCGGAGGCGCCGGCGGCTGCGGTGGCTGCTGCGAGCCCCGCTGCAGCCGCGAGCCCCGCTGCACAAGAGGCAGCAGCGCAGCGCGCTCTGCCGGCTCCTTATTGAGCAGAGACAAGATGTCGGTCA